CCCCCTCCCACCCCACGCCCCGGCCCCTTTCACAATCAGGAGGGGCAGGCAGCATCGTGGCCCAGTGATGCTCTCCACAGTGTTAAAACACAGGACATGAAACGGACACCCCTAGCCCCTCGCAGTTAGGGGACGAGACGCGTGCTTGCTTCCTGGTCTTGCTCGGAGTCCACAGCCCTGCTCTGGGGGCCCAGGACCTCGCATGCCGCACACCTGCCCTCTCCTTTTCCTGTGTATTCTCTCTTCCCTGCCTCGGGCTCACCACCTCCCAGCCCCCAGGCTGGGGCGCACTCAGAGCCCACACCCCAGTGCCCCCAGGAGCAGAGCTGTATCTCTGGGTGGGGAGGGGGAGTGTGTGGGCTGCAAACACAGGCCATGTCCCCAGCAGACCAAGGAGCTTAAGTAACGCTGGCTTTGCGGGACAGAGGCGTGGGGTCTGGTCCAGTCCCCTGATCCGCGCATCTGCAGGGGGAGGAGCAGGCACGCCTGTCTCTCACGGCCTCTCTGCTCCCTCTGCGCCAGTGGAGGAGCTGAGTGAACCATGCAGATGGCCGCCAGCCTCACCTGCACCGTGCAGACGCTGTGGGTGGTCCTGCTCAGGCCCCCACAAGGATCCTTGCAGGCAGGAACCACAGCTGGGGGCCTGGAGGGAGAGCCCAGGGCATGGGTAAAGCCATGAGCTCCTGCAGCTGCACTGGCAGGCTGAGTGCCACCCCCTTGCCTGTGGGATTCCTGTTGACAAGTCAGGAAATGCTCCCCTGCCCGTCCCTCAGTTTCTCCAAGTATGGACGGAGGTTCATCATGCACAGTCTCACTTATGCACAGGCTGTCCTGGGCGGGCCCTAGGTCTTGCTAAGCACGCACTGTTAGCCCTCAGGGGAGGCTGCTGGCTGCAGATTCACAGTCAAGTGAGCACCGAGCCCCCCCCCCCCCCCAGCCTTTGATCTAATCTCACTGAGGAAGAAGCGCCAGCCTCAGGCTGTATTCTGCGCCCTGGGTCCCTTATAGCCTGGGGTGTCCAAGGCAGGCTCCTCTGCAGCCTCCAGACACCCCATGATGCTGAATCCCCGGAGTTCTTCCACCTTCTCAGCCGATGACCTTGTCCCTGCTTACTACCCTCCCCTCCCCCTTGCCAGTCTTGGCCTTGGAATAGTTTGAAGAAGACCCTAACCCCAATCGAACCCACCGTGCCACGGAATCCAGGCCACACCTGAGCAGCCAGGGCAAACGACCCCTTAGGTGCACCCTTGGTTCACACCAGACCCCTCCAGGCTAAAGCCTCCCCACCAAGCTCGTGTTCCTGTGCCCAGGTGGCCAGTGCGCACCTCTCCTCGCTGCCCACGGAGGTCCGAACATACATTTCATAGGGAAAATTGCACTCACCCCCGGCTCCGGCGCCCGCCAGCACCTGTCGCACACACTCCTCTCGGGATGGAAGGGCCTGCAGGCCCCGCCCCTGAGGCCGCCCCTCCATTGTTACTGGGTCTTAAGCCTGTTTGCCTTGAGACAAAGACTTCAGTCTGCCTATTTCCCCTGTTCTCTTGAATGGCCAGTTTCCCCCCACCGCGTCTGTGAATCACTTCCGTTGGTGGATAACTATGCATTAACATAGCTCTTCTCCTGAGCTCCAGGGGTGGGCATTGTGCTGCAGGGGGTTAAGCCACCAGCATCCGCTATCAGAATGAACACCTGCTGGGAGTCCTGGCTGCTTCCAATCCAGCTCCTTGCTAATGCACCTGGAAAAGCAGTGGACAACGGCCCAGATGCTTGGGTCCCTGGCACCCATGTGGGAGACCCAGATGGGGAGTTCCTGGCTCCTGGCTTAAGCCTGGCCCAGGCCATTTGGGAAGAAAGAGGTGCCTTCCAAGAGACTTAGAGTGGCTTGGGTGGCAGGAGACCCCAGTGGCTATTAAATTAAAGAAGCCCATCAGGCAGGTCAAGTGGGATTTAAAATAATGAAGACTGCTCAACAGGCATGCAGAGACGAAGAGAAACGGTCGCCATCGCTGTCGCGTGGCTGGGGTGACGCGGACAACACACTTGTCCCCCCGCAGTTCTACGTTAAAACCAAACAAGCTGCTAAACTCCAGGTGCATCTACAGTCACGTGGTAGGGCCCACCTATCACCCAGACAAAGCTAACAACACGTTACACCTCCTGTCTTGGGCCCTGGCTTTGGTCTGACTGCACACGCCAGAGGAAAGGTGACATCTGTAGGAGAGGGGGAGGGGGAGAGGGGGAGGGGGAGGGGGAGAGGGGGAAAGGGGGAGGGGGAGAGGGGGAGGGGGAGAGGGGGAGGGGGAAGGGGAGAGGGGGAGGCGGAGACAGGGAGGGGGAGAGGGGGAGAGGGGAGGGGGAGAGGGGGAGAGGGAGAGAGGGAGAGGGGGAGAGGGGAGGGGGAGAGGGGGAGAGGGAGAGAGGGAGAGGGGGAGAGGGGGGAGAGGGGGAGACAGAGGAGTGGCCCATGCGTGCCCATCACTCGGCTGGCTGTCATCTTGCTAGTGCAACAGTGTGGCCCCAGGGGATTCATTCCCACACGCCGCTGAGGGAAGGCGTTGGGGCACCATTAGGCCCGTGGTCATCTATATAGCACAGTGAGCTTCTTGCGTGTGTAATGACCCACCAATTTGGATTTTTGTTTGTTTTTAGATTTATTTACTTATTTGAAAGTCAGAGTTACACAGAGAGAAGGAGAGGCAGAGAGAAAGAAAGGTTCTGCTGGTTCACTCCCCAATTGGCCATAACAGCCGGAGCTACAACGCAGAGCCAGGAGCTTCTTCCGGGTCTCCCATGCGGGTGCAGGGGCCCAAGGGCCTGGGCCATCTTCCACTGCCCTCCCAGGCCATTAGCAGAGAGCTGGATTGGAAGTGGAGCAGCCGGGTCTCGAACCGGCGCCCATATGAGATGCTGGAACTGCAGGAGGCAGCTTTACCTGGTATGCCACAGCGCTGGCCCCTTGGGTCATTTTTTAACAATACGTCGATTTCCAGTGTATCTAAGGGAGCAGTTTATGACCTTAAAATTTAAAAAATCATCTAAATTTCTAAAAAAAAAAAAAAACAACCCATCCATAGAAAATCATAGTTCTTAGCCTTAGTAGGCAATAGGCATGATCAGGTGACCTGGATAAAAACGCAGTGCTGGGCCCTGGCTGAGCAGGCGCGGGGTGGAAGCCGCACATTTGCGTTTGTAATGACTGCCCTGGTCACGCCTGACGTGGAAGGTCGCGCTTCATGGGAAATCCTGAAGTTCCACTCTGCTCACAGACAAGAGCGGAAAGTAAACACTGACCTCCATATTGACAGTTCCTCCCTAGAACTAACCATTTAACAAACGGTTTCTGAACCGTATTTCCCCACAAGAGCATTTCAGCTCTAACCCATTCCTTACTCTTAGAATGTTTTTGTGACCTTGACAGTGTAATCCTAAATATTAGCTCTCAGTGCTCTGAGAGAACTAAAAATGGTATAGGAAGTCAAAAGTAGACTCAAGCAAATGCAAATAGTGTGAGGGTATTTGTCACAATTTAAAGCGATGTCCAAAAAATGGATTTGCTCATGGTGATTCCACACGAGCCATGCTTTCTGTTACAGCATCCTCTGGAAATGAGAACGGAGCACGTCCCCCCCGGGCTCCCACCTCCGTCAAGTACGTGCCCAGATTTAGATTAATTCGAGTAGACCCCAAAACACAATGGAAGCATTCCTCACACTTACACTCAGATGACCTGAACTAAGACGAGAAGGTTTGAACATTCTGCAGTGTGAGATTTTTATTTTGGAAAGAAATCAAAACACAACAGAAGACTACAAAGCCAGAAAATTAGGAAGACTATTGTCACAATTTTATTGTTATAAGCATGGCAAAAAAAAAAAAAAAAGGATTTCTAAAAACTCAACACCATTTATCCTGGACAAGGGCAGCACAGGGCGGCCAGTCAGAAGCACGAGGCTGGAACCAGCTCTCCCATGCGCCAGCCACAACGCTCTGCCAGCACCCCCATCCAGGCCCACAGCCCTGAGACGCGCACACACTCACACACTGAACCACGCACGGCCCGCGGAGCAGAGCCCCGGTGCTCAGCTTCCTCTCCCCACTGCGCTCACTCCCACCCACTGAACTCCAAACTCAGATTCAGCATCTGCCGCTACACACGTAAAAGTGACAGCCTACAAGGGTCACATTGGTTCTAGATATAAAGGGCAAAGCATTGATAGTATAAAAAATTATATATGTAAAAGCACAATGACAAACACAAAGTTTAAACACAGAGTGTTTGTTCTCTACAGCTTAGTAAAACTTAACACATTCAGTATGAACTTAACCTTTTCCACTGGGATAATAATGCAGTCTCTAAATATTGGCTATATACACTGGAAGCATTGATGAAGACACTCTCACCCCAAAATGAGAAATGCTCGCCATTAATAATGTTAACGCAATGTGGAGGGATGGCTGGTACACCTGCAGAGGTGGGACCACACCCTGGTCCCACAGAGGACTTGAGTCTCAGAGTCTTGGCAAATGTATATCTACCAAATCCATCTTTCATAAATCTTACGTTGAAGTCACATGGATGTGGGACAGATGAACTAATCACGAGCTGTTTGCTTACTGTGAAACTGTAATTCATTCCAAGAACAAGCTGTAATTACTTGTCCCTAAAATCCATCCCTTATTTAAATGTCATGTAGCTGATTCGCACAGTGGATTCTTTCCAAAATGCTCCACATTCCTACAGCCATCCCTTCTCCCTAACGGTTCCTCCTCCGGACAGTCTACCCTTTTGGCTCACAGAAGTTAAACTGAAGACGTTTCTGCCTTATGCCATAAAGACAAAAGTTGTACGGATCAGGCACAAGAGGGGCGGAGGGCCTGCTGGCAGGAGGCTGCACACGCCCAGAGCTTACACTGCCGCGGCTTCCCGTCAGCCCCTGCTTAGAGTCCACGATGGAGCCACGCGGGAGTGCTCAGAGAGGATTCATGACAAAGGGCCCACGCCAAGATCTTAGGTGGCTTTATTTGTGACTCTAGAATCAGGCAAAGGCAGTGAGTGTTCTGATGGGCTGCGCAGACAGAGGAAGGCTGAAAAAAAAGCAGAAGCTAAACAGAACGGGGATTGGTCATTTCAGAGTTACACTCTTTTTCGAGCAGGGACAGGAGACAGAATAACAGAAAAATAACCGACTGGTTAAAATCAGATTACTCAGAGCTGTTTTCTGTGACGACTGAAGCTGGGGAACTTCACAGTCACGCCCATCGAAACTGGTGCAGTTGGGGAGTTTTGGCTGCTACCTTTTTCTTTCCTGATTTCTTGGAAGGTTGGACAGCAAGGTAGCTTCGGCTCACCTGGAATGTCAGCATGAGTGACTCCATTTTGATTTTCTGTTTGGTCTGTCGGGGCCTAGTGCAGCAGTCTAGTCCTAACAACGCCTGCCTGCAATTTTTATTTAACAGCACCCGAAATCCAAGTGTGAACGGCCAGCCTATTAAATAACAACCCTGCGGTTACACACTCACCTGGGTGAAGTTTATACGCCTGCTTGGAGACATTTAAAACTTTAAAAGACCCATTCATTCGGCAGTGCCCTGGTATTAGAATTCATATGTAGAAACGGCCACTCTTTGAAAGCCACTTGAGGAAACTGCCGTACCTCAGGAACACGCATTAGGAAGCCGACGGTAGCTCACCGGCACCAATGCTCTGTTAGGTCCAGTTGGTCCCTATGTTTCGTGTTCCTGCTGAGCTAACCAGAGAGCTACCGTGACTGTAACTACACAGCACAAGACACACCTGGACACTGCTGACTCCATGGACTCCCGAGTGCAACACCAGGAACAGAACGAGAAGAGAATGATGCGGGTGTCAAGCAGTGTTTTGCGATTTGTAGTATAAAAGGCAGTTTGGCTTAGTATTACAGTAAACCAGTATCATTTATGTAAAAAAACATGATTTTGAGAACATTCTAGAGATCCAAAGTGAACTAGAAGGCAAGGCAAGAAAATAGCAATAATGTCTGCGTTTTGCAAATACCATATCCAGGGGCTGGCGCTGTGGCGTAGTGGTTAAAGCCGTCGTTTGCAATGCCAGCATCCCATATGGGTGCCAGTTCTAGTCCCAGCTGCTCTACTTCTGATCCATCTCTCGGCTATGGCCTGGAAAAGCAGAAGATGGCTCAAGCCCTTGGGCCCCTGCTCCTGCATGGGAGACCCAGAAGCCCCTGCCTTCTGGCTTTGGATCAGCGCAGCTCCAGCCAACGTGGCCATCTGGGGAGTGAACCAGCAAATGGAAGATTCTCTCTCTCTCTCTGCCTCTCTAGTAAATCTTTTTTAAAAAAATACCATATCTATCAACATTTCCAGTGGTGAATGATTATGAAAATGTGATTTCCTGATAGAGGAATAAATTTTGCTATCTTTTGGCAGAAAAGATTAAACTTTGTCTTCCCCTTCAATCAGTTCTTTCCTTAAATATTAGGTCTGCACACAGTGCCCGTATCACTGAGCAGGAGAATATGAGAAAGTACATACTGTTTATTTCTTTGTTACACAAAGAAAATTCACTGTGGTCCAAGCCCTGCTCCTCCGCCCACACCAGCGGCGGGGCCGCTACGCGTCCAGCTCGGGGTCCAGCTCTTCCACTTTGATGACGACGTCGGGAGCCAGCGCGGCGGCGCCAGCCTGCTGGCTCTCGGCCTCGGCCTCAGACAGCACCTCCTCCTTTATCCTCACAGGCTTGCTGCCCGCCTCCTCCTCGTCGTCCGAAGACTCATCCAGCTCCCACTCGTCATCGATGTCCATTTCAAACACTCTCACGTGGCGCAGGTTCGAGCTTAACTGAAAGGAAAGGGCCGGAGAAAGAATTTCTAATGAACGGCTCAGAAATGCCTCCCACGTAAGGAAGCAGAGATCTGGAGCTGGAGGGGCGGGATTTGGTGCAGCAGTTCAGATGCTGTTTGTGGGGACCGGAGTGGTGCAGCAGGTAAAGCCGCTACCCGCAACGCTGCATCCCATGTGACACGGGGGCTGGATCAAGTCCCGGCTGCTCACTCCCGATCCAGCTGCCTGCTAACGCACCTAAGAAAACAACAGAAAATGGCCCAGGTGCTTGGGCCCCTGCACCCATGTGGGAGACCAGGATGGAGTTCCAGGCTCCTGGCTTCGGCCTAGCCCAGCCCCAGCCGTTCTGGCCACTTGGGAAGTGAACCAGCAGATGGAAGATCTCTATTTCTCTCTCTGTGTTGCTCTGCCTTTCAAATAAATAAATAGACAAATGTTAAAAAAAAAAAAAAAAGGTGCTATTTGGGACACACGTATCCCATAGCAGGGTGCCTGGGTTCAAGTCTCAGTTCTGATGCAGACTCTGCTAATATGAACGCTGGAGCCAGGAACGCCACCTGGGTCTCCCGTGTGGGTGCAGGGGCACAAGTCCCTCCACTGCCTTCCCAGGCACGGCAGCAGAAAGCGGAACAGCAGGCAGAGGTGCCTGGACTGGACCGGGCACTCCAAAAGGGATGCCAGCATTGTGAGGTGGCTTAGCCTGCGGCAGCCCAGTACCTATCCTGCATTCTTTTTTTTTTTTTTTTTTTAAAGATTGTATTTGTTTATTTGAGAGGTAGAGTTACAACAGTGAGAGGGAGAGACAGAGAGAGAGGTCATCCTTCCATTGGTTCACTCCCCAGATGGCCGCAACGGCCAGAGGCAAGCTGAGCCGCAGCCAGGAGCCAGGAGCTTCTTCCAGGTCTCCTATGCAGGTGCAGGGGCCCAAGCACTTGGATCATCTTCTACTGCCTTCCCAGGCCACAGCAGAGAGCTGGATCGGAAGAGGAGCAGCTGGGACTAGAACCAGCGCCCATCTGGGATGCTGGCACTGCAGGCGGAGGGGTAACCTAGTGCACCACGGCGCCAGCCCCGTGTCCTTCATTCTTGTTAGTTTGTGTTTATCTACTTGAAAGGCAGAGGAACAGGGAGGGAGATGGACTTCCCATCTGCTGACTCACTTCCCAGACACATGGGCTGGGCCAGGACAAAGCCCAGGACACAGCTCAGTCCAGCTCGCCCACATGTGTGGCGGCGACCCAACCCCTGAGCCAGCACCTGCTGCCTCCCAGGAGGCACCAGCTGGATTGGAAGCACGGGTGGGGGGCTGGCCCTTTGACACGGGATGCAGGCATCCGAGTACCAGCTCAAACCACTGCACCACAGAGCCCGACCATCGGCCTTATTCTGTAGAGAGGAATCGCCACATCCAACAGCGGAAATTTCACGAGCTTATTAAAAATCCAGAAGCATTAACTACTTTCTCCACGCACGCTCCGTGAGCTTTCTCAGAATAGGAGAACTCAACAGCTAAGGTCGCTACACGGCCCACATCAGTAAAGCTGAGTCATGGTCTCCCCCGAAGGGGCTCCGTGCCGCGTCAGAGCGATGGCCCTCCTGCCGCTGCTCTTGGTGAAGACGTGCGGACACTCACCACGCAGGACACTTTCCGGAAACCATTCCCAGCGACGTACTGTGCTTTCATGCTTTCCAGTAACCGCCAGTGCTTCTCGAAATGCACAGTGCGCGTGGGGATGACGCCGCACTGCTCGTCCAGCCTGCGGGGAAACACCGAGCCCGGTCACCATCAGGGTCAAGTCCCGGTCCAGCTTCTCCCATCACCCCACTCCCAACACGATCCTAGCAGTCACTGTACAGGAAAGTGTGATGGGACATTCTATAAAAACCCTGCAATTCCAAAGTTGGACAAATCATCTCAGTAAGGTTTTAGATTCCCTGTCAAGGAAAAGCCAAGTAGGTACATTTTTACATCAGTTAAGGGAACTGGGAACCAAAAAACCTGACAACCAAAGTCATCACTTAGAATTGGTTACGTGCTCTCCACATGGGAGCTGAGGTCCTAATTTCAGAAAGACACTACTAAAGGCAAATCTAAAATAATTAACTCTGCTATAAACTAGGGTCAGTACTATTCTCAAAAAGACAACTGAAGGCCACCATCTGCAGCGCTGGTATGCCATACGGGTGCCGGTCTGAACCTCGGCTGCTCCACTTCTGATCCAGCTCCCAGCTACCGCACCTGGGAAAGCAGCAGAGGATGGCCCAAGTGCTTGGACCCCTGCACCCATGTGGGAGACCTGGGAGAAGCTCCTGGCTTTGTATCAGCCCAGCTCCGGCTGTTGAGGACATCTAGGGAGTGAATCAATGGATGGAAGACCTCTCTGTCTCTGCCTCTTTCTAACTCTGCCTTTCAAATAATTAAATCTTTTTTTAAAAATTCCATTGCTCATTCCAAATAATTCCACACCCTGTTCTAGCAAATACTTCTTTTTAAAAGATTTATCTATTTGAAAGAGTGTTTGTGTGTGTGTGTGTGAGAGAGAGAGAGAGAGAGAGAGAGAGAGTGAAAGAGAGAGAGAGAGATCTCTTCTGTTCTGTGACTCACTCCCCAAATGGCTGGAAAGCCAGGGCTGGGCCAGGCTGAAGCCAGGAGCTAGAACTCCATCTGGATCTCTCACATGGGTGAAAGGGGCCTCAGCATCATCCACTGCCGTCCCAGGTATGTTAGGAGGAAGCTGGATGGAAAACAGAGCCGCCAGGATTTGAACCGGCAACTTTGATGTGGGATGTCCTTGTCCCAAGTGCAGCCTTAACTCAGCACGCCACAATGCAGGCACCCTAGCAAATACTTCTTCTTCTTCTTCTTCTTTTTTATAAAAGATTTATTTTATTTATTTGAAAGATAGAATTACAGAGAGAGGTAGAGACAGAGAAAGAGGTCTTCCATCCACTGGTCCACTCTCCAAATGGCCGCAACAGCTGGAGCTAAGCTGATCCAAAGCCAGGAGCCAGGAGCTTCTTCCAGGTCTTCCACATGGGTGGGTGCAGGGGCCCAAGGACTTGGGTCATCTTCTACTGCTTTCCCAGGCCATAGCAGAGAGCTGGATCAGAAGTGGAGCAGCCGGGGCTTGAACCGGCACCCATATAGGATGCCAGCACTGCAGGCGGTGGCAGCTTTACCTGCCACACCACAGCGCCAGCCCCAACACTTACTGATTTACTGGTAGAACTGAGGGACAAAAGCACTCTATGGCCAGCAGTAGGGCAAGCATTTGGTCCAATGGTTAAGAGACCAGTATCTCACACTGGAGAACCTGGGGCTGCTATCTGGTTCCACTCCTGACTCTGGCTTGTTGCTAATGCAGACTGTGGAAAGCAGCCGCAGTCATGGCTCAAGTGAATGGGCTCCTGCCACCCACACAGAAGACCTAGATTGAGTTCCTGGCTCCTGGCTTGGCCCCTGCCAGGCCTAGCCCAGTGCTGTTGCAGGCATCTGGGCAGTGAACCAGCACATGGGAATTGTCTCCGTCTGTTCGTCTAATACACAAAACTTTTTTTTTTTTCAAATAATAGACATATTTCAGCTCCACGGGTCCTGCAGTTATCCCTAATAACTAGGAAACAAACATTTTGGAATCTCTGATGCATGGTAGAAAACATTTAACTGTAGCAGAAAGAAAATTACCTTACAGAGTAACTCCCAGTGAACTGGTATTCGGCAGAATCTTCGCTGTTGTATACTAAAGACAATGGCAGCTGGACCAAGAGTCTGTCTCTTCCCTCCCGTCCTACTGTGTCTTTAAGAACCACCGTAACAGTTTCATCATCATAAAACTGCGCATCTAAACAGCTGTAGGTGCTGGAATTGAAACAAATGTTGTGATGTCAACGATAATCAGGACTACTGAGAAAACGTATAAAGTAACATTATACTGACAATCAACAGAAAAAAATAACTTAAAAAAATTAAGTACCATTCCATACAATTAACACTTAAACTACAGCATTAGCTCATACGACAAGCACAATAACTAGGGTCTTAATCAGGTAATCATGAAATCAGAAAAAAATCTGTGAAGTATGTTCACAGTTTTAGAAAACTCTTGACAACAATAATGTTTAGATTCTAGGCTTGGGGAAGTTTCATCAACAACATCATTTATATGTACCTTGAGTAAGCCAAGTTAACTAAACTGAAAAGTAGAAACAAAATTTTACATATGAACAAAAAGATACAACAACTTCAAAGACTCTGTCATTAAAAGAAAAAGATTTTACACAAGGAGTGAGATCAATCTAGGACTGGCGTCAGCAGCCTGCTGTCCTCTGGGTCAGTGAGACACAGCCTCTCACGGGTGCTGGTGGTGACAAGAACCTCACGGCAGGCCCCTGCCCTGCACCCACACTGTTTTAGCAGACGGGGAGCTCGGAGTGAAGTGTCATTTATGAGACCATGCTACACCTGCTCCTGCAGGGCAACGCAGCTCTACCCAACTCAGTCAAGTCACTCTTCAGAACGCATGTGAAGAATCCTGCCTCCTGGGTCAGAAGTGACCGTCTGTCTCCCTGTCGCCACTACTGAGGATGGCCACGTTGCTGCACATCCACCACACGTCCCTACACATGTCATCCAGGCAAGATCCAAGACTCACCTTCTCCTGATTTTTTCAGTTGTGGCATACGTGAAGCTCCCAAACTTAACAGCAATCAGTCCATTACTTACAGATCTTGAAGAAAGAACAGGGGAAAGACACGCTATGGATCAACCTGGAAGGCCAAGACTCTAAATGCTTCAAAGAATACGATTGCCAGTGTTGGTGCATTTACCTCAACATCAGATCCTAGGACAGACTACCATCCCTCTCTCCAGAATACTGATAATTACTGTGGACCTTAGGTAGTTCATCCTCTTCGGTAGATAAACTAACTTGGTTTAAAATCTTATAGTGGGGGGGAGTGGGAGCAAAGGGGAGGGCCAGCACTGTGGCCAAGTGGGCTAAGCCTCCACCTGCAGCACCGGCATCCCATAAGGGCACTGGTTGGTGTCCTGGCTGCTCCTCTTCACATCCCGCTCTCTGCCTATGGCCTGGGGGAAGCAATGGGAGATGGCCCAGTGCTTGGGTGCCTGCACCCACGTGGGAGACCCAGAAGAAGCTTCTGGCTCCTGGCTTTGGATCAGCCTTGCTCCAGCCATTGTGGCCATTTGAGGAGTAAACCAGCAGATGGAAGACTCTTCTCTGTCTCCCTCTCTCTGTAATTCTGCCTCTCAAATAAATAAATAAAATCTTTTTTTAAAAAATCTTTTTTTAAAAAGATTTATTTTATTTATTTGAGAGGCAGAGTTACAGAGAGAGAGGTAGAGACAGAGAGAAAGTTCTTCCATCCACTGGTTCACTTCCCAGAAGACCACAATGGCCGCAGCTGCGCCGATCCAAAGTCAGGAGCCAGGATCTTCTTCCAGGTCTCCCACATGGGTGCAGGGGCCCAAGCACTTGGGCCATCTTCTACAGCTATCCCACACCATAGCAGAGAGCTGGACCAGAAGAGGAGCAGCAGGGACTAGAACCAGCACCCATATGGGATGCCTGTGCTTCAGGCCAGGGCTTTAACCCGCTGCACCACAGCGCTGGTCCCCAAGAAATAAAATCTTAAAAACAAATCTTGCAGTTGAGGCTGAAACTGTGGCTCAGCATGTTAGGCACTGCTTCTGATCCAGGTCCCTGCTAACGCGCCTGGGAGAGCAGCAGCTGATGACCCAAGTACTTGGGCCCCTGACGATCACGTAGGAGACCAGGATGGAGTTCCTGGCTCCTGGCTTCAGTCTGGTCCAGACTGGGCTGTTGTGGCCCTTCGAGGAGTGAACCAGTGGATAGAAGAGCCCTCTTTCCCCACCCTCTCTTCCTTCCTTCTTCTCAACTTCTGTCAGGTCACCTTTCAAACAAAAAAAGAAAAATCTCAGGGGCTGGTGGTGTGGCGGAGCGGGTAACGCTGCAGCCTGCAACTCTGGCATCCCACACAGGTGCCAACTTGGGTTCCAGCTGCTCCATTTCCAATCCAGCTCCCTGCTAATGGCCTGGGAAAAGCAGCGCAAGATAGCCCAAGTGCTTGGGCCTCTGCCGCCCACGTGGGAGACCTGGATGAAACTCCTGGCTCTTGGCTTTGGTCTGGCTCAGCCCCGGCTGTTGCAGCCATCTGGAGAGTGAACCAATGGATGGAAGATCTCTCTCTCTCTCTCTGGTCTCTTCCTCTCTCTCCATAACTGTTTCAAATAAATAAAGAAATACATCTTTAAAAAGAAAAGAGAAGTCTTAACAGTCAACAAAGCAGCAAGAGACCTTCATTAGACACTTAGAAGTACCAAATTCTTTCTCTTGGCTCTGTCTTGGCCTCCAAATTTTTAAATTTAAATATACATTCAAAGTTAAAAGCACTTAAGATACTAATGCTGAATATGATTTTCTTTTAGAACTTACACTTCGGATTCTCAAAACAAGGATCTGTGGCCAAGGCCCTTGTTTTACGAGAGGTGTATTTAACCCAAGGTATACCTGCCTGTGAGGAACCCCACTAAGAAGCTAAAACAAGTCCACGGGGGCTGGTGCTGCGGCACAGCAGCTGAAGCTGTCACCCGCGGGGCTGGCACTCCACTGAGCGCCAGCCCATACCCCAGCTGTTCCACTTCAGATCCAGCTTCTGCTAACCCGCCTGAGAAAGCAGCAGCAGATAGAGATCAACTGTGGGGACCCCTGCCTCCCATGTGGGAGACACAGACGGGTCCTAGCGTCAACGTGGCCCGGCCCTGGCCATTGTGGCCACCTGGAGAGGGAACCAGCAGATGGAAAACTTCTATCTGACTCTCCCTTTCTCTCTGCAACTCTGCCTTTCAAGTAAATCAATCAATCTTAAAAAAAGTTCATGAGATATGATAAAATGTTGGGTTTTCTGCTGTCGTATTTTTTTCCTAAGAAAACAAAATATTCTATATACAATAGCTGCACACCAACACAAAATTTAAGAAATCTACACTAGAAAGGAATCATGCAGCTACCTAACTAAGTGCTATCATGTTGATATGAAATCAAAGACTGAGTGGGGCGGGCATTGTGGCATTAGTAGGCTGAGCCTCCGCCCGCAGCACCGGCATCCCATAAGGGCACGGTTCAAGTCCCAGCTGCTCCTCTTCTCATCCAGCTCTCTGCTTATAGCCTGGGAAAGCAGTGGAAGATGGCCCAAGGGCTTGGGCCCCTGCATCCGCGTGGGAAGAGCTCCTGGCTCCTGGTTTCATATTGGCTCAGCTGTAGCTGTTACAACCATTTGGGGAGTGAACCAGTGGATGGAAGACCTCTCTCTCTCTCTCTCTCTGTAACTCTACCTTTTAAATAAATAAGTAATCTTAAAAAAAAAAAAAAAAAAAAAAAAAAAAGACCGAGAACAGTAAATGATACATTAAACAGCAACTATAACGTCACAAGGTGGCTTAATTAAAATCTGAAGTGTTGAGAAGGAAGCACTAATAAGCTTTATTAGCAAAAAGTAATACAATCTTATCTCTGATTCAAACATCAGATTGATACTTACTGGGAAATATCAGTATGTCTCCTTAAGATGCACATTTTATAAAGTGAATCTTCTAAAATAGTAAAAAGAAGATAATGCAGATTTGAAGTTTTATTATTCCACCTGAGGGTGAACAAATTTAACGTTACAACACGGTATTTAGCTCTTGCTGCTTGGAACAAAATTGTGCTGTTCACAAAAGATAGGCAAGGAATGCACTTACAGAAAAGGGAATTTGAACAATCTACGAGCACAATCCTCACTAAAAGAAGAAGGAAAAAAAGTGAGAAAAATTTAAACTGGCTGCTGAATTCTACCACCCAGCGGTAAAGAGAATTACCTCCTAGCATCTCTGTATAATGGGATGCAGATGGCTTGATTCATTGATTTTCCAATTACGTCCTGTATGAGATAGATTGGAGCGTAGTTAGAGCGCTTCTGTGCAGACCCGCAGGAAGCGACTGGCCGTCACAGCGCACGCACAGCAGAACCCACTCTTCATCACCGCACTCCGTGCTCCGAACACTGAGTGACAGCTCTAACGAGAAGATTCTCAGTCGACAAGGCCCTTGGAGCTAAGCACACGGGACGTTAGGGGCCATCTCCTCCAACCCCACAACACCACTCATCTGCACCCTTCCATTCCCTCGGGAGGAAAAAGGAGACTCAGCTCTGAAACTGAGACCAGACCCCTTATAAGGAATTTGTTCTGGAAGCAAAGAAAATGCTAACATGCCAACACCTCCTGCAATCTTGCAGTCTTTTTAAAATTCATGTAAGAAACTAACAAGATGCCTTATCAGATTGAGACATACGAAACTGCCATTTTTGTCCAAGGGTTGAGTATCAGGACTTCCATCTCGTTCATCCTAATGACTGTGATCACTCAGAGATATTTTTGCTCCTACACAGAGACATGCATTTCTTTCAAACTTACAGCTGGCTTTTGCAAACACTGGTCAATGATGTTCTCCATGCGCCTTTTCACAAAATGCAATGATTTTCGAGGGTAATAAGGAAACAGCAAAGGACTTTCTGGTTTCAAACAAAAACAGAAAGAAAAAAAAAAGAACTGTAGCGAACTGCTGATGAGGGGAGGACAACACGCTGCCTGCTGGAGCCAGCCTGCAGGTTACCCAGGGTGGACTCCTCACTGGCCGCTTCATTCTACTTTCACATACCTCCTCCAAAACCATGGCCACCCCCGACTGACAGCCCACTAGCAATCCCCACACTAGGCGCAAGCTTGGTCCAACCAAAATCCAACAACACTACTTGTACTGGCTCTTAAGAAAGGGCTGTTGGGGCTGGCGCTGTGGTATAGCAGGTAAAGCCACTGCCTGCAGTGCCAGCATCCCATACGGGCATGGGCACCGGTTCAAGTCCTGGCTGCTCTGTTTCTGATCCAGCTTTCTGCTGTGGCCTGGGAAAACAGTGGAAAATGGCCGAGATCCTGGGGCCCCTGCACCCGTGTGGGAGACCTGGAGGATGCTCCTGGCTTCGGATCACTGCAGCTCCGGCCATTGCAGCCAACTGGGGAATGAACCAGAGGATGGAAGACCTCTCTCTCTCTCTCTCTCTGCCTCTCCTTCTCTCTCTGTGTAACTCTGACTTTCAAATAAATAAATGAAAAGAAAGAAAGGAAGGAAGGAAGGAAGGAAGGAAGGAAGGAAGGAGGGAGGGAGGGAGGGAGGGAGGGAGGGAGGGAGGACGGACGGACTGTTGGGAACTCTAAGCTATATAAAGTTCAACAAAGTTCAAAATTCTCATGCTGACACATGGGATGACCATGGCAGTCCAGTGTTGTTTCAGAACAGTATGATTCTAGAAAACAAGAGACAAGAAACGACTCTGTGTGAATCTTGTCACTGTTTAAAAGACGACTTTATCAGGGGCATGCATTCATTCGGTGTGGTGGTTAAGCTGCAGCTAGGGATGCGGTCCCACATTGCTGTGCCTGAGTTCAAGTCCTGGTCCAATTCCAGCTTCCTGCTAATGCTGACCCTGGGAGACAGTGGGGCTGACTCAGTACTTGGGTTCCTGCCACCCATAAGGAAGACATGGTTTTTTGAGTTTTGGGTTCCAGCTTTGCCCTGCCCAGTCTCAGCCACTGTGGGAATATGAGTGAATGCACAGAGCTCTCTCTTTCTGCCTTTCTTTGAAAACACAAAGCAAAACAAGATAGACTGACAGAGAAGCAGCGGAGCAGCCAGAACTGTACTGGCACGCAGATATGGGCTACAGGCATCGCAAGTGGTGGCGTAACCCCCTGCACCATGACGCTGGTCCCTCTCTCTGACTTTCAAATAAATAATTTTTTTTAAAATGCTACTTTGTCAGTAGAAAGCAAGATATACTTTAGCATTTACTGACTCCCCGCTCTGCTAGGTTCTTTGTATGTGTTATTTCTATTGCTAAGGACAGCTGTGTGAACCAAACATCATACTGTCTAATTTATGGATTAAAAAAAAAATGGCTTAGTAGATTTATACAGGCGGCCAGCATGCAGATGCCCCAGCATCTAATCTATGACTCAAACCCGAGCCTGACTGCAGCTGACCCTGTCCCACAGTGCTCCCCAGGCCGACGCTGCACACGGCAGCCCAGGTCCCAGCTGTGCTGGACACAGTGACTTCAACTGTGCTAACACTTTAAGCTCCCAAGAGGTGACAGATGCTGTGGTATCACAGACATTTGATCCTTGTCCCCAGTTCCTGAAACAGAACTCCTACAGGCCCTGGAACTCCCTGAGTGCTAGTGTGATAGGAGTGCTTTTGTTTTAAGGAAGCCACACTTGGCAGGCCCCCACACAGCCTCAGGAAGGGGGCTGGTCCCGGAGAGCCGAGCCCTGCTTAGAGGCTTGGGACCTGCAGCTCACTTCCCACCGGCCAACGATTTAATCACCCACCCCAGAGTCAAGAAGCCCTCATCCCTGAAAACAGTGGGGCCGGAGAGCTTCCCGGTGGTGAACACACCTGGTGGGTGAGTGCTAGGACCACGGCAGCTCAGCACCTCTCCCTCTGTACCTTGTCCTTCCTGTCTGCCTGCCTCCCGGTTAGCTAGTCCTGAGTTGTGTGCTTTATGATACACCAGTAAAAATAAGTAACACGTTTCACTGGGTTTTGTGAGCCATTCCAGCGTCATGCAACCCGAAGGGACGGAGCACTGTGGGAACCCGACCTAGTAGCTATGAACAGACGGTGGGATAACCTGTGACCTGACGCGGGGTCACATGTGGAGCCTGGGCTAACCCTGGCAAGTGCCAGAATTTTACACAATTGTAGGTCACCCTGTTGGTGTCAAGAGGTTAAAAAAAAAATTCATTTTGGTGCCAGCACAATATCGAGTGTTTTCTACCTAGCATCATGTCACATACTGTTATTTTGCTGTTTCTCTAATCAAATAAAATGGGCACATAAAAATCACGCTACAGAATTTGGATCAGTATTCGGCCAAGTGCTGAGCAAAACTGTGAGCTGACCTATTAAAAATCTGGTCTCAAATGAGCGTGAACACAGCCCAGGTGCCCTGGATCATCGAAGTACCTTTAAGGTGGCTGCTGTTTTGAAGAAAGTCATACCACTGGTTTCCTTCCGTGTTAGGGGGCGACACGAGATCGTCATCTTCGTCTTTCAGGTACTAGAAACACAGAATCAGAAATTTAAATTTAGTAACTAAAGAGCGAGGCCCATGCCCGACATCGTTCTATTTAGTGAGTATTGCTGTCTACTGCGAGTCTTCTGGCAGTGCATCGCTGCTGCTCTAAGCGAGGGAGACAAAACGTGATCCACGCCAAACAACTAGACACGCTGTCAGCACCAGAAGATGGTCATGCTGCAGATGAGGAGACCCCAAACTGAGTATGCACCTGAGCGAATGCTAACCTGACCGAGAGAAGGCCGCCTCACGGGTGTCAGCTGCCAGCACGCTCTCGCAGCTGTTCCTGAGTGTGGTTCGCAGACCCCAGCGTCCCTGAGATGCCATCAGGGAACCACCAGGTCAATGCCAGTTTGACAGCAATGCCTTTCTCACTGGGCTATGTTTACACTGACGGTGGGAAAACCACGGGTGCCTCCGAGGGTCAACACGGTGGCCCTGATTCATACCTGCGGTTACTGTATTGTTTTTTGCCACATATTCAGTTTCATTTCCCTTGGATGAAGCTATTAAATGATTAGTTTTATTCAGTCTCTGCCTGTGAGTGCAAACTGTTAACAGCGGCGTCATGGAAGGGACACAGAGGTATTTTTGCTGCACTCGGGTATGGTGGCTCTCCTGAGGCAAAGCACTCGTGAAACTGATTTAGCTGTGAGCAGAGCCACGCGGTTTCATTTTGATTGGAAGGGAATCACATTTTCACATGAGAGAATAACTGGTAGACAAACTATGATTATTCCAACTTCAGTACTTGGCACATAGCTTCTCAAAAATGCAATGAGCTTGAAAACTTTGAGCAAAACGACTGACTGTATCTGCTGCCAATGCTACAATTTAAACTTTCAAGCAAAAACTAAAATTGTGGAAAACCTGGCACTTGCTCCTGCGTGCTCACGCCCCACCGCACTCAGACGTCACCGGTCAGATCAGTGCTGACGCCAGTGAGCTCCCACTTCTGCCGGCCACCAGCTGAAGGCACACGGAACTGCATAACCAGGGAGCCAGTATTCCCACAGCGGCCAGTGTATGATGCTACAAGAGACCCACTCGAAGTGCAAGGGGGAAGAAGCCACTTCAAGCACTGAGGATGGACAGCTCATGGATGCGATTTTTAGATTCCACACTGAAACTAACCTTACACATACCATTACTTGTTGAGGTCTGGTGTACTATCGCTAGCTACAATTACCTGACTAAGCCATTACAATACTTCTCCCTTCCCAGCTACACATCTGAGTGTATATTTTCTTTATATACTCAACAAAAACAATACACATATCTCAGAATGCCTGAAGAAGCAGATAAAAGACTCTACCTGGCATCAAAGGGATTTGCAAGAATATAAATCCCGAAGACAGTCTTCAATAAATTACTTTTGTTAAATACATTATCTTTCAATTCAGTATTTAAATAAAAATATTTAGGGGCCGGCAGCGTGGCACAGGTTAATCCTCTGCCTGCAGCACCAGCATCCCATATGGGCGCCGGTTCAAGACCCGCTGCCCATCTTCCAATCCAGTTCTCTGCTATGGCCTGGGAAAGCAGTAGAAGATGGCCCAAGTGCTTGGGCCCCTGCACCTGCGTGGGAGACTGGGAAGAAGCTCCTGGCTCCTGGCTTCACATCAGCCCAGCTCTGGCCGTTGCGGCCATCTGGGGAGTGAACCAACAGAAGGAAGACCTTTCTCTCTGTCTCTCCCTCTCACTGCCTGTAACTCTACCTCTCAAATAAATAAATAAAATCTTTAAATAAATAAATAAATAAATAAAAATGTTTAAATTAACATGTAAAGGTAAGTTGGTTGTTAATTTTAAATGAACCAAGAGGGCCGGCGCCGCGGCTCACTAGGCTAATCCTCCGCCTAGCGGCGCCGGCACACCGGGTTCTAGTCCCGGTCGGGGCGCCGGATTCTGTCCCGGTTGCCCCTCTTCCAGGCCAGCTCTCTGCTGTGGCCCGGGAGTGCAGTGGAGGATGGCCCAGGTGCTTGGGCCCTGCACCCCATGGGAGACCAGGAAAAGCACCTGGCTCCTGGCTCCTGCCATCGGATCAGCGCGGTGCGCCGGTCGCATCGCGCTGGCCACGGCGGCCATTGGAGGGTGAACCAACGGCAAAGGAAGACCTTTCTCTCTGTCTCTCTCTCTCACTGTCCACTCTGCCTGTCAAAAAAAAATAAATAAATAAAAAAAAAATTAAAAAAAAAAAATGAACCAAGAAATGTTTTTATCCAGTTTAACTAATATCAAATAATATGCACCATTGATAGATAACAACCCACATAAACAAAAGCTCTTTTTCAGGTCCCCAATAACTTTTTATTTTTATTTTTTTTATTTGACAGTTATAGACAGTGAGAAAGAGAAAGAGAAAAAGGTCTTCCTTCCGCTGGTTCACTCCCCCAATGCCACTACGGCCGGTGCCGTGCCAAACCAAAGCCAGGATCCGGGAGCTTCCTCCCGGTCTCCCATGCGGGTGCAGGGCCCAAGCACCTGGGCCATCCTCCACTGCCCTCCCGGGCCACAGCAGAGACCTGGACTGGAAGAGGAGCAACCGGGACTAGTACCTGGCACCCCAACTGGAACTAGAACCTGGTGTGCCGGCGCCACAGGCAGAGGATTAGCCTAGTGAGCCACGGCGCCGGCCAATAACTTTTAAAAATGTAAAGGTGGGGCTGGTGTTGTAGAACAGCAGGTTGAGCTGCTGCCTGCAATGGTGGCATCCCATATGGGCACCAGTTAGAGTCTCGGCTGCTCCACTTCTGCTCCACTGCCGAGGCACCTGGGTAAAACAGTGGGAGATGGTGCAAGCACTTGGGCCCCTGCATTCATGTGTGAGACCCAGATGGAGTTGCAGGCTCCTGGCTTCTGCCTGGACCAGCGCAGGTCATTGTGGCCACCTAGGGAGTAAGCCAGCAGATGGAAGATCTCTCTCTCTCTCTCTCTGTAACTCTGTCTTTCAAATAAATAAAAAGAATGTAAAAGGGCTTTGAAATCAAAGTTTCAAAAAAATGCTGATTTTTTTTGTTAGATTTATTTATTTTATTTGAAAAGCAGAGATACAGAGAGAGGAGAGACAAGAAGAGATCTTTAACCTGCTGGTTTACTCCCCAAATGGCCACAATGGCCAAGGCTGGGTCAGTCCAAAGCCAGAAGCCTCATCTAGGTCTCCCACATGGGTGCAGGGGTCCAAGCACTTGGGCCATCTTCTGCTGCTTTCCCAAGTACTTTAGCAGGCAGCAGGATCAGAAGTGGAGCGGCTGAGACTTGAACCGGAGCCCATTTGGGATACTGGCATTGTAGGCGATGGCTTTACCCGCTATGCCACAGCACCGGCCCTGGCCCCTGGTTATTTCTAAAATGCAGGATCTCTATATGACTTGCTATTATATCGCTTTCCATAAAGTTTGAAAAATGATGCAGGTTTAAAATTAGTTCTTAAAAGCTAAGAGCAGAGGTCGGCATTTGGCCTAGCATTTAAGGCACTGGTTAAGACATCTGACACCCACATCTGAGTGCCCGAGTTCAATTCTCAGCTCTGCAGCTTGATTCCAGTTTCCTGCTAATGCAGACCACGGGAGACAGTGGTGATAGCTAAGTAGTTAGGTCCGCGGCACCCACAGGGGAGACCTGCATGGAGTTCTGGGTTCCTGGCATCAGTTTGGCTATTGCAGGCGTTTAGGAAGCAAAGCAGCAGACAGGTGCTCCCTCTAGGGTGCTCACTGGCTATTGTTCTTATGTTCTCTCTCTAATAACTAAAAATTTAAAATAAAAAAAAGAGGGTAATAAGGCAACTCAATCCACAGCTCTTACCTGACCAACTTTTTCAACGTTAAAGTATTTTCCTTTGCGATTATAAAGGTCAGGAGCCTAGAAAAAATAAATATGATTTAATTCTTAAGTCAACTCACAAAAGAAAAGGAAAAATCTTAAGCTTAAACCAAAAAAATTCATTTATTTTAAGAGTGCTGTTAGTGGCACTTTTTCGTAAGGTATACAAAAACAAATTCGATTTGTAGACTTTATGTATAAAAATCAGTACTGCTATAAAATAGTTTTAAAAAAAGTAGATGCTAAGGGCTTCCATAACACTGGAGTAATCATTTCTTATCAATACCCAGGTGTATTGTAGCCATTTTTTTAAAAACTACATTTCTTACCTCATTGAAATGTTCAGTAAGAAATTCAGCAACAAATGTAATATCTTTTTGAGTCATCTATCAACAAAAGGAATAAAAACAAATTAAAAGTTTCCAAATAGAAGAAATATGATGTAATAATACACGTGAATTTTTCACTAAGAACTAAAAGCCCGGGAAAACAGGCACAAAGCTCCTCCTAAGAAGCAGTGGTTGTGCAGCCGTGAAGAAGCGAAGTCCTGGGGTTCCAAGGATGGCCCTGAGCATTCCAAATCCTCTCCCAAGCAGCGAGTCCCCCAGCCGCAGAACCGACGGCCCGAGGCTGCCTGCTCACGGCAGGCCTTCTGCTAAGACTGCGAGCAGGGCTCCCTCTGGCAGCAGAGCTCTGAGCCCGGATAAGCAGCCTTACCCTTCCGAAGGGCCTAAGTAATCGCCGCTGCACGCCTCAGTGCTGCCTCTGCTTCTCGCAATCTCTCACCCTCAAAACCGGCACACGCTGAGGTCTCTCCCCCACGATTACCAGGAAAACATAGCTGGATTCAGAGCTAACGGTTCTATCTGGACAGAGCTCTTGTGAAACTACCCTGGTCTGGGACTCGTCACCTAGTACAAAAGCAGCACTCAGCCTGCAGGAGGGCCTTTCAGCCCACGCGGGCTAACACTAATACTCTCCATCCTCTCAGTCTCAAACCCCTGACTCCGCCTCGAGGGACACTCTAGGCAGGCGCGAGGAGGAGGGGCCACAGGAATTCAATGAGAACTCTGCCCTCTTCTCTAAGATCTCCCTCCAAGGAGACTCCACTGTCATCTGTCATAATCCCTACAGTTAGAAGGAAACAGGGGCTTACCTGAGGTCCACACAGATACTAACATCTAAGTACTTCATTTCCAGGGAAAAGGAAAGTGCATTTAAGACTTAAGGAAGTTATACCACGGAATACAAAGATGCTACATTATACAGATTTTAGAACCTCACATGAGCATGAAAATTACAAATTTAGATGGCCATACAAGGTACTGTGAAAGGTGAAAAAAACCACCACATGCAAGTTTCTTTTAAAAAAAAGAGAGGGGGAGGCGAAAGGGGGCTAAATCCACAGCCTGACCCCTACACAGGGTTCCCTCGATGACCTGAAAAGCTGAGCTCCAAGGGTGCGGCCACAAATCTGGAGAGGCCCGGCCAAGCACTACGTACCACCTTATTCAGCTCGGGAAGCACGTGGTCTTCTGTCATTCTCAGCATTGCTGCGAACAGAGAGGCATACAACTGAAGAGACACGACACACGTAGCTTCAACTACAAATATATTTCAAATACAAAATGATTTGTTGAACCAAATATTGAATTTTAAAGAGCTTCTTCTTGCCAAGAAACTTGTTTTTCTTCTAAAAACTGAAGTGTGAAGAACTTAGATTTGATTTCTATTTTCAGGTTGAAAGCTGCTAGTCTAATCACTCTAAACTATTATTTTTATTTTTTTCCTCAACCCTTTGCCACTCCACATAAACCTAACTGCTTCCTGTGCTGGGTGGTAGCCTCATTCCAACCCACAACTGTTTCTTTCCTTAGAGTCTGTAACCAGTTCCTTCCTGTGAAACCCTACAAAATCAGACCTGGCTTATTTCCCTCAGCCTTTCTGTTACATGAAGACAGCTGCACTACACCTGAGGAATGCATGCACACACTCACCAGCATGCTTTAAAAAATTCATGGAGGGGCCAGCACTGTGGCATAGTGGGTAAAGCCGCCGCCTGTGGCACCGGCATCCCATATGGGCACCGGTTCGAGACCAGGCTGCTCCACTTCCAATCTAGCTCTCTGCTATGGCCTGGGAAAGCAGTAGAAGATGGCCCAAGTCCTTGGGCCCCTGCACCCGCTTGGGAGACCTGGAAGAAGCTCCTGGCTTCAGATTGGTGTAGCTCCAGCTGTTGCGGCCAACTGGGGAGTGAACCAGTGGATGGAAGACCTCTCTCTCTCTCTGCCACTCCTCTGTGGGGAGCAACTCGGACTAGACTAAGTTACTGGAATTAAGACTTATTCTATGCATCTGCTCTCCCACAATATGGCGCTGGGAGAGGAGTAAACAGCTTCTACGCAGCTGCCTCTCGCCAACTTGAGTGATGACCTGCAGGAGCTGATCCTGCTCCTGATTGGAGGAGAGCAGCGTACTCAGCGTGTGGGTAGCAGAGTTGGGATTGGTGGAAGAGGACTATAAAGGAGGAGAGAGACAACATGCACCAGGAACATCTAAAGGGAACACCTGAGCAGCCCCCGAGAGAGCCGGCCGGCGGTGTGCCGCTCCCCCGCGGAAGTGGGGAAAGTGGCAGGGGGCACCGCCCTTCCACGGAGGTGGAAGGATGGCAGCCAACCCGGGAAGAACCAGCAGCAAACCCGGGGAGGGCCGAGCAGACAAAAGAACAGCGCAGGGTCCTGTGTCGTTCCTCCACGAAGACGGGGAGCGACACTCCTCTTTCTGTGTAACTCTGACTTTCAAGCAAAATAAATAAATCCTTAAAATTCATGGCAAGTGTTCATCATCTTTCAACTCCATTCTCCTTGAACACTCTGGATCTTCTTCATGTATGCATATCTACGTAGTTTTCTTTAGTGCCGTGCCTGACATTTTTTGCCCTTTCATAAGGTTGTCCTCCCCAGTACTATGTTTTTTGGTATTACATTCCCCTAAGACAAGATTAAATACGTTGCGTGTGCTCATGCACACTGTCTGAACAGCCTTCTTCACTGTATTTGGCCAGTGACAAGCATGTCGGAAGTTATTTCTGCAAGTAAAGATTATTTTAGTTTTTAACTAATTCAAGCTTCTAAACTGAGCAACGGGCGAGAATCTAGTTCCATTCATTCATGTATTCATGATCCATTCAAGAGTGAGACTGATAACTTATCAGGTGCTGAAGTACAGCAACACAGAAGGGGGCCTCGTCCTCACACAGCTACTGCGGCGGAGCCGAGAGCAGTTAGGTCTCCGGGTCTCCAACCCAGCGTGCTCGCTACACCGTCCCAGCGCAATGATGGGGACCTGCGCTAACTCACTGTTCTTCTTTTTTTATAAAAAAAGATTTTATTTATTCATTTGAGAGGTAGAGTTACAGACAGTGAGAGGGAGAGACAGAGAGAAAGGCTTTCCCTCCGTTGGTTTACTCCCCAAATGGCCGCCACGGCCGGCGCTGTGCCGATCCAAAGCCAGGAGCCAGGAGCTTCTTCCCGGTCTCCCACGCGGGTGCAGGGGCCCAAGCACTTGGTCCATCCTCCACTGCTCTCCCAGGCCACAGCAGAGAGCTGGACAGAAAGAGGAGCAGCAGGGACTAGAACCAGTGCCCATAGGGATGCCAGTGCCGCAGGCAGAGGATTAACTCACTGTACCACGGCGCCAGCCCCTTGCTGTTCTTCTAATCCTGATACTTGTGATCGTCAGCAATAAGAATAGAAACTCTAAATTACCTCCAGTAACTATAAGTAAAACCAAATGCCTTTGGTCAAAGGAAATGATTTCCAAGGTCTCATTTAGTTTTAATATTCTAATTTATGCTAAGTAAAGAGACCCAAGTGCTTGGGCCCCTGCAACTCATGTGGGAGACCTGGATGAAGTTCTGGTCTCTTGGCTTCAGCCATGTAAGGAATGAACCAGAGGACAGAAGATATCTCTCGGGGCTGGCACTGTGGCGCAGTGGGTTAACGCCCTGGCCTGAAGCGCCAGCATCCCATATGGGCGCTGGTTCAAGTCCTGGCTGCTCCACTTCTGATCCAGATCTCTTTGACCTGGGAAAGCAGTAGAAAATGGCCCAAGTCCTTGAGCCCCTGCACCCACGTAGGAGACCTGGAAGAAGCTCCTGGCTCCTGGTTTCAGACTGGCACAGTTCCTGCCGTTGTGGCCATCTGGGGAGTGAACCAACGGATGGAAGACTTTTCTCTCTCTCTGCCTCTCGTTCTCTCTCTGTGTAACTCTGACTTTCAAGTAAATAAATAAATCTCAAAAAAAAAAAAAAGAGGCTCTCTTTCTAACTGCCTTTCATATAAATGAATAAATCTTAAAAATAAATAAATAAATAAATAGGATGGCCTGATAAACACTCTGGTTCCCCATTCTGGCTAATATTGGTATAGTTCTGAGAAAAATCTAAATCAAATATCAACATCTACAGATCACATTCAGTTTTTAAACAAAAGCAGTGGTAATAGGCTGAAAAATACAAAGTCTGCATTTGTAATGTCAGAATTTAAGGAGTCATAACAAATGGTAAATAAATAATATTTATCCAAAGGATATTAGTACATTACAGGTAATTTGCATGTACTTCACTGTTTAGAATTTTAACAAAATTGACACATTTTGCACATGTTGGAGGGAAATGTACGCTGGGTTATTTCAAGGACATTAAGAGATCATAAAAACAGCAGTGGAAATGGAGCTACATAAAATATACACACATATGTACACTCAACTCCCTACTCGAAGCAGAGACACCAAGGAGATACAAAGTAGACAAGCGGTGGTCCCCACTCAGTGTAGCTCTGCTTCTAGCTGCCACTGACCACAGGTGGCCCCTGAGAACTGCCGGCGTGGCCAGGGACAACTAAGGATCGGAGTGTGCAGTGCCACAGCATCTCTACCAGTCTAAACAGCTGCACGTGGCTAGTGGCTGCCATGATGCACGGCATAGCTCTAGAGACAGAACGCCAAAAAGCAAACCAGGAAGTAGACTACTGAAGGGAACAGTGCCTGACACACAGCAGGAAATCAAGGGTTATTCAACTGCAGGAAACATTACAAGGGAAAAAGCAGGCGAACTGTCACCAGCAGCAGGAACAACAGGCACTGTAAGTGGGTGCCCGTGCTCCCCGGGGAGACGGGCTGGGGCTGGGGCTGGGGCTGGGGCTGGAGTAAGAGTGGCCATGCACTGGTAAGCGCTGAAGCTGGGGGAGGGGCATTGGGTGGAGGATCATACTATCTGCTCTACCTCCACAGGATTTGAAATTGTACTAGAGTAACTCAAACAGTCTAAAACGACATCCCACTTAGAACTAAGTGCTAAAATAACAAGAATGCTTCATTCAATTCACTTACCTACATACAGCCACCGAAAAAATGCTTTGAAGTTTTTCATACTACTATCGATAACTCTACAAAGATAAAAAGAAACCAGAAAAAAGATTATCATGTTGGGTGCATATTACCACTGTTCAATTGTCATGGAATATAATACTCTTCACTGCTCTATTGTTATCCTATTTGGATGGTATTTAAGCCTTTAGAATAGCAGCCTTTAAAAATCAAACACACCTAAGAATAAGATTTCAAAAAGCAGATCTGATTTTTCTCAAAGATAAAGCAAATAACTCAGATTCTAACTGGTTATAGGAGCCTTGCCACAACTGTGTAACCAGTATCCAGTAGACTGAAATCCCTTGCTAACTTGGCAAATAAATCCAGAAAAAGTGTTTTCAGCATTATTCTTACTTTTTAAAAAAATGCTCACCGGTCAGTAAGAAAAAACAACTCCAACAGAAAATCCTTTTACAAAGTAATTTTCCTATGTCACTACCTCTGATATTAAAGGACATTATTTTTGGAAGTTTATGTTTGACTCTGACAATAACTGAGATCTCAAAAACTGAATTTCCCTGAGGTTTACATAAGTATACCTGCCCCTCAAATTAACTGTTACAAATGGTGAAGACTTCTTCATTTTGATGGAACATTTTACATACAGAAATGGGTATCATTTTCTAAGTATCTTCTTAAGCTTCTTTCTGTAAGATAATGACTTAAGCTCTTTTCATCTTTAAATTTCAAAGCCCTTTCCAAGCAGTAAGTTTCCTGACACTAATGGAATTGTGGGTTAGTGTTGGTGGGTTGATACTAACTTTTCCGTACAAAGTAAAGCACTTGAAGTAAAAGTCTGCAACAACTCTCATGTTACCAAACAATATAATCAACTCTCTTGCAGCAACAATGAAAAAATAAGGTAAGCGTTTCTGTTTGCTTCCAATCAATACCATCACCTCCACCCCAAGCTAACTTCAAAATTCCCACTGCCTCAGTTTCTCCAACTGTAATCTAAGGCACTAACAGTACACGTTACTTATCTGAAAGGAGCAAAAAGTTAAATGATCTTTCATTCACATTGAAAAGTGATCACAGAAAGCTTAATATTGTATATTTGCTCAGTAAATACGGTGAAGCAAAAAACACCTCAAAATACAGGACGGACAATGGGATTTCTCCTCTCATTTTGTCTTCTGAGCACAAGTATCTAGAGTCTTACCTTTTTTTTTTTTTTTTTAAGGTTTATTTATTTATTTGAAAGGCAGAGTTACAGAGAAGTAGAGGCAGAAAGAGAGAGAGGTCTTCCATCTGCTGGTTCACTCCTGATGGACACAAAGGCTGAAGCTGCACTGATCCAAAGCCAGGAGCTTCTTCCAGGTCTCCCACGTGGGTGCAGGGGCCCAAGGTCTTGGGCCATCTTCTACTGTTTTCCCAGGCCATAGCAGAGAGCTGGATGGGAAGTGGAGCAGCTAGGATTCAAACCAGTGCCTGCATGGGATGCCAGGACTGCAAGTGGCGGCTTTACCTGCTATGCCACAACGCCAGCCCCTAGCCTTTCTTCTAAAGCCCCACTGAAGTGACAGTGGATGGGCAAGGGTGGCTGTGTTATGAACACACAAGAACAGAGAGAACGTCAGAAACGAAATGGAAGTGAATCCCAGAACTGTCAAGAGCCAACAGAGGCCTGGCGGTGACTGACGGACGGCAGAGGGCACACCCCAGGCTCAGGCTGGGCAGCCAGGAAGAAGGCGTCGGCCCCAAGAGCCTGGGGGATGCTCAGACCTTGGAAACGCAGGCTCCACGTAAGTCACCAAGATGGCAGGAGGGGCTGGGCACAGAACAGCTTTAAACACGAACTGGCTAGGGTTTCACCTTGTGGCCAAAACCGAAGGGTCTTCATAGAAATGGAATGTGCTGGGAAGAGCTCAGGTAGCGTAGGGTGGGCGCCAGCAGCCCGAAGCCAGACCACGCACACTCCTGTGCACACAATGCCAGCTTCCTGCCTGCCTGCCTGCAGAGATGCCTCATGAATAAACATGAGAGAACAACCAAGCACCACGCATCGGAAGCGAGCTTCCAACAGGAGACCCAGACGTGACCCATGCAGTGGAGATCATTAGGCGAACAATGGACTTCAACAGACATCTAATCAGTATCCCCCGAGAGAATTCACAAGATGTCACAGCCACAAAGCAGAGCACGGCCTTGAGGAAGGATCTGAGGAACAAGGGAACACGTTAGGAAATGACAAGACAGGACTGTCATAGTGGTTCAGTCCTCCCACCCCACCCGGCTACATGCTCCAAAGTCCACGCCCGGCCCCGAGCACTACCAGGCCGCGACCCTCCCCAGTCTCACCCGCAAGGCACTCTGCTGACCAGCTGTACCTCTCGTCTGCCCAGTAGCCTCTCTGTAGGGCCCCAAACTCTGTCTCCCCAGGATGCACTGTCCATTGCTTCTACCACCTTGTATGGTCTCTCACCTCATGATCTCACTTCCCTCTTAACCCAGTCCACGTCTGAGGGTCACCATTCTAATCCCACCATGGCTTAACACCAAGCCGGGGCAATCTAACTGCTCCCCTGCTCTGTGCCCCACTCCCACAGCAGGTCCTGCCCGCCGGCTGGCCTCACGTTACAGCTCGAGTGAACGCTAACCGAGCGCCCTCGGTGCCACCAGCAGTCCTCCTGGCTCCATGGGCCCCTTCTCTCCCTTGTGGGAGTAGACAACCACGTCACAGCTTCTCCTGTATTCTTCGAACTTCGACACCTCCTCCCCATCCTTTCTCAGCAATGATTTCCTATTGCAGTGAGGTAATGAAGCGCCTGGAAGGCAATGTTCCCAAGGTCCCATCGCTCGTACACTGGCCTCTGGGACCCTACTCTCACCTTCCCCCCTCTGCCCTGCACTCTCTCACCTTGCGCACTCCAGCCCAATCCTCACACAGTCTCGCTGCAGCAATCCTGCTCCTCTCACCAACAGCTGCTCCCCTTCTAGAGATCACCCACCTAACAACACGGCCTCGCTTCTCCCAACACGCAAAGAAAACCCAGCAACTCTGTTTCCAACTACTGGCCATCCCCTTTACTGCAAACCTGTCCTCCTGGCACCTGCTCTTCCTGTGTATCGTGCCAGTGCCTCCCTCCACCAAGATGGAGCTCATCAAGCTATTAGCCCAGTAATATCCCAAGACTCTATTTCTACTCCTCGTCTCCACCTTACCTGACCTCGTAGCATGCCCGACTGTAGCCTACACGTGACCGGCAGACGCCCACGGCCTTGGCTGTTGTGTCACTAGTGTCCTTTGCCAGCTCCTCATCATCCCCATTTCTGAATGCCCACTACTGGGTCTTCAGGTCTCTCCTCTTCCCTAAGCACTTCCAGCGCCTACCCAGCTCACGAGGCTTTAAGTGACACCAGTGTGCTGACAACTCCCAAATGGACATTCCCAGCCTGTACCCCTCCCCTGAACACTAAGTCCTATGTCACCAACAATGCACAGGGCAGCTTGACCTGTGGGTCTAACAGACATTTCAAATCCAATACGCCTGACAAATTAACACAGTGCCCAACATTAACATCAGGTAGGGTGGATGGAAACACCTTGAGAAGGATGCACCAGTTATGTAGAATTCTGATTCAGGAAGTATAATCTCAGTCCAATAATGGGCAAGTATTTGGTAAACCCACAGGGAGAAGCATAAATATATACATATACATACATATATATGTGTGTGTGTGTGTGTGTGTATATATATATATAAAACCTGCTTTCTTTAAAGACACCAAATATCAAGGCCGTTGCTGTGGCATGCTGGGTAAGGACACTGCCTGCAGTGCCAGCATCCCATGTGGCTGCCAGTTCAAGACTGGCTGCTCCACTTCCAATCCAGCTCTCTGCTAGGGCACCTGGGAAAGCAGTGGAAGATGGCCCAAGAGTTTGGGCTCCTGCACCCACGTGGGAGACCTGGAGGAGGCTCTGGCTTTGGCACAGTCTAGCACTGGCCACTGTGGTGATTTGAGGAATGAACCAGCAGACGGAAGATTAATCTTTCTCTGTCTCTCCCTCTCTCTCTGTAACTCTGCATTTCAAGGAAATAAATCTTTAAAAATAAAAAAAAAAATTCAAGTGTTATCATAAACACCAAGAAAGTCTGAGAAACAGTTTGAGATGAAAGAGATGCAGTAATTAAGACAAATATGTGACCTGAACTGCATGTATCTGAGTGGACATTACTGGGATAAGTGCAAACTGGAACTGAACTGCAGATTCACTACTGCACCAATGTTGAAATCCCTGTCTGTGGAACTGCACTAGGGTTATGCAAGAAAACAGCCTCACTCCTACAGCCTCAAATGCAAGTACTGCAGACTAAAGCACATGGCATACATAACATACTCTCAAATGTTTCAGAAAAATCAACAATAAATACAGCAGAACACTTACAAATTGTGAACTGGAGAAGACCTTTATTATCTTTGTTATCAGAGTTCTGTATTATTCTTATCAGTCAGAAGCTCCTGTCAATTATACTCCATAACAGGGGGCTGGCTGCCTGCAGTGTCGGCATCCCATATGGGCGCCGGTTTGAGTCCCAGCTGTTCCACTTCCGATTCAGCTCTCTGCTATGGCCTGGGAAAGCAGTAGAAGATGGCCCAAGTCCTTGGGCCCCTGCACCCACGTGGGAGACCTGGAAGAAGCTCCAGGCTCCTGGCTTCCTATTGGCCCAGCTCCAGCCATTGTGGCCATTTAGGGAGTGAACCAGTGGATGGAGGACCTCTCTCTCTCTCCCCTTTTCTGTATCTATAACTCTGCCTCTCAAACAAACAAATCTTTAAAAAAAAATTATATCTCCTAACAGAGCACCCAGAGTCTGATGTCATTTCTCCCTTGGCTCTGTCCTTGCTTGTCTGTGACCCATTCTCAACACTCAGAGCTAAGAGGGATCAGATCCTGTCACTACACCACTTCTGCTTCTCAAGGGCCTCTCACTGCACCAAGAATAAAACTCGAAGCCGCCCAGAGCCCACGGCTCGACGCGCTCCTCTGCTACCTCTCTCAGTTCAAACCCTACTTCTCACTCCTTACCCGCTTTAGCCACAGTGCCCCTGAGGGCCTGAAAATGCTCCAGGCACGCTCTAAACTCAGGGCCTGTGCACCTGCTATCCCTTCTGACCCCAAACAGCAACAGGGCTTACCTTTGCCCTGTCTCCTCCCAACTCTGCCATGTCGGAGAGGGCTCCCTGCCTCCCTGTACCAGGCAGCACCCCCCACCCCCCCCCCAACGATAAATGGCCTTCTTCTAGGACTGAACGTCCAAGCTTGAAGGGATCTTGGTGATTATCTGGTCTACCTCACCACCTTCCTGATTGGATCCTGGGAAGTATCTGTCCAGGAGTGCACCCTTGGTGACAGGCATGAAGACAGACAATAAATCTGTGGTCAAACCATTACTTCAGCTCTTAGCAGGCCAAACTACTGGGAAAATAAGCTACAGAGGTTCTTCTCTTAGCCATAATCATTAAAGAGCACTGAGGTGGCATTCTCAAGTTGCAAGAAAGGAGGTTCCTACCAGATTTTCTGACAAAAAGCATAAAACTGAAAGTGCTATTCCTTATTCCCCTGCTTCTCTTACCATCAATCTTGAAAAACTGAGCCCAGTCTTGATACCCACACTTCCTTCTTCGATTTCATCAATTCACCTTCCACCGCTAGGAAGATTCTCCCACCAGGCACTAGGAAGTCAATGCCTCTTATATTCTCACTATCTGCTGTATTTTCTCACACTCATTCATTGATGCAGGATTTATTGAGAACCCACTCCATGGACCATCATACAGCAGTGAACAAGAGAATCCCTGCTCTCATGGACCATTGCATCCGTATGGGGTAGAGGGAGGATAAAAAGAAAAAGGGGACTCTTTCAGCTAGAAAAAAAAAAGCTACAAAGAATATCAAACAGGGCATCAGGCTAACAGTGGCCAGAGAGAGAGGTCTGAAAAGGGCAGAG